TCCCTGCCACATTTCCAGTTCTACCTGGCTGAATTCCTTTCCAGTCGCCACGGCCGCTAGAGGCCGCAGCAGGGTGGACGAGTTCCCTATAGGGCGACACGAACTTCACGACTGCGCCCAACGAGAGGTTCACTAAGCCTTCAACTTGCTTACCCTGGGTTTGAGTTCTACCCAAGGTCCAACATATCCCCCCCACCCCGGTAATATTTCTGGAAACCAATAGTCAATTTTCGTTATGTTTGACAGTTCTTATTCAGAAATGACAAATTACGATATCATGCTGGAACACGAATACTAATGACCTTGAAAGTGGGCAGGTATTCGTAGCGACAGGCAGGACGTATTTCATTCTAGAAATGCTCAAATACAAAACACGTTTCACTACATTTTTAGAGCAGAACAGACCCAGTTTGCATTCCTGTTGTTCAGACAAGGGGAAATCTGTTGGTATGCCATAAATTGAAACAAAGAAATATTTGATACAAACTTCCTTGAAAGTACAAGCAGAATGAGGAAACAAAACCTTTATCCAGAGTTATTCTCGGGAAGTTGGCAGTGCGCTCAACCATTCAATAAATTAGCCGCCTCCCATGGAATGCTAAGGTTTATTATCGCGATCACAACAACACCATTTCCGATACAGACGCCAATCCACGCCGTCCAATTCCGTTTTATCAAAATTCGTTTTAATATTATTCTCCCATCAACGTCTAGGTCTCCTCCCTTCAAGCTTTCAACCAATAATATGCACGCATTTCTCATCTCCCCTATGAGGGCGACAAGTCCGCACACCTCACCTTTCTTTATTTGATCTTGGTAATAACATCTAGCGAAGAGTACAGATTATGAAGCTTCTCATTGTATAATTTTATCTATTTTAACACTTTCTAGGTCCAAACATTCTCAAACATTCTCAATCTGTGTTCTTCCTTCAACGTGAGAAACTAAGTTTCGTCAAAATCAGCTGAAATTTCAAAACTTATACATAAATTGGCCTCTCCGTTTCGTAACGCAGCTAATAAAAATTAAACAACGTTAAATGAGGCACGACCAATATGTCCAAACGGCGTTACACTGTCATTGTCGATACTAGTAAAATAATCGATTAATGTACTCATCAACTTTAGGTCGTGCCATACCTGTGTATCCGCGAGCCGCCCCTCATAACAGCCACAGGTGAAATGGCAGGGGAGCGACGCGAGAATTCCTGAAGGGTCACATGACCAACCGAAGAGCCAATCAGAGACCTTCGCTCACTGTTAGGGGGAAAGCGGAACATTTAAAGGTGTGGTTTCATAGACTGTGCCCGAGAGTTTGTCTCCACCACATCAAGTCCCACTTTCTTCCATACACTACGTCAGGACGACAAAATTAGTCTGATGACAAGAGACAGCGAAGTGTGGAATTAGAGTTGTGGCTTATTTTTAGGTACAAACCCAGAATTGAAGACGTATTAAAAAAGTTCTGGCGCCATTTTAGGATTCATATGGCGATTATCACACGTTTCCCGTTTTAATAAGGCGATTTACAGGAACGCGATTGCCGCGTATAACGAGAGTCACTTACACAGAGTGAGGTAATCTCATGTACAATCCACAACAAAAGTTCATCCCTGTAGGGACGGTAGCAGAACGAAGCTGATCGTACGCATGTACCATCTAGCGATCAGGATGAGTACTAATTGATGTTGACGCCGTTGTATCGATTGAGTCAGCGGGGTGAGACAAAGCGTGTATGACCTAATTTAAGATTCGTCAAAGTAGATTGTTCTTAAATTATTGTGTTCTTCAAAATCTTTATTTTTATTCATGACTATCCTATTTCGTGGGTTGTGGTTTTCTGCGTCGTGATGCCGCGGATTTATGTAGATTATTTCCAGTGTTACACACTCAAACACAAAAAGTAGCAGATATAGTTAAAAATATTTTTATAATTTTTATTTATTCACAAAAAATTACACTCTGCAAAGATAACACTTCAATTGTAAAGGGTTTTGACGACAGTAGTTTACACTTCAAATTATTCATTGTCAGGACCTTCTCCGTCGTCTGTTCTTTAAAACCATGACGTTTCGGAGGCTGGTTCTGTCTCAGTCTTCGGTGAGAGGTACCTAATCTGTTGGGTCTCTTAGATAGAGCTAGTCTCACCTGAAGACAGAACAAGAAACAGACTCCGAAACGTCGTGGTTTTAAAGAACAGATGGCGGAAAAAGTCCTGACAATGAATAATTTTAAAGATAATACTGTATTACCAATAATCCACAAACATAATACTTAAAAATTTGTCTCCGCCTCTCTGACGGTGAATTTAAATTTATATCCAAAATACATGATAATACTTTGCATGAAAAGAATTAATAAAGAATTTGAAGATTAACAGAAGATTGAACAACTCTTCAAGATGATCTTCCTTCTTCTCCAAAAATTCACTCTGAGTCAGAGGAATCTTCTGGAATCGCCGGGGAACTGTTTCCAACGTTTACCAGCGACGGATCAAACTCTGTGCCCAAAAATGGTGAACCTTCCACATTCCACACTTCTTTCAGGAGTTTCTGTGTTTCCTATCGGCAAAGATTTTGAAGAACACTCATTAAACGATTCCAGTAATTTGCTTTGGCCACGTCTGTTCATGATTTAACAGTAAAAGGCTTACCATTTCGTCAGTCGTTGGCAGTCCTTGACGTTTGCGCTCCTGATTCCACATCAACTCCTGAATCTTCATCTGTTCATCCTGCCCTAGGTCCTCCATGGGTCTTGTAGCATCTATGTTCGAAAGGTCAATCTTTGGTTCTGATAAGAGCACAGCGTCCCACCACCTTTCTTTGGTTTTCTCAAAATGCACCTACGATTAAAACGACGACATATTATTACTTTTAAACTTTGCAAATGCATGGCACAACTGTTTATGGCAATAAACAAGCCACGAATGTGGTGACGGTGGTTTTTACTGCCGTGTCGACTTATAGAAAGACGCCAACATTTCATTAAAACCTGATTCCTCCGCCTTAACGTAGATGGAAACATTATGTTCCTTTGAAATATTGGTACAGTGCCACAGTCCTCAAGATGAAGACAGTAAGATCCTCTGAAATGCTGGATTCAGTCTACAGGTCAACATGGTGTTACGTCCCAAGAGACAGACATCGACGCGTGAGAATATTCTCCGCGTGATATACCTCAGGACGTAGCTTGTTATTTCTAATATTTAAATTGAGGTGTACTCTTCAATATTATGGCCTCTGCCCACTTGGCAAGGGTGAATGGATTCACTTTCAATCCCTGTCCAATTTACTCCCAAAGATCAGTCGATGGAGGCGACGCTGGCGCAGGATCCAGAACTGCATTCATCCAAAGAGTTTTGACTTTACTCGACATGAGGATGAAGGCAAGTGCAAAAATCCACAACGGATCCAGCTAGTCTCATTCAAGAAATCTGGTCCGAAAGCCGTGCGACTTACAACCGGTCCACCAGATCAAAACATTTCTTAAAAAGTATTAATGCATTAAACTAATAAACTCCGAGGAGCAGAGTCCTTGAGAAACCACTCGGTTCGTCAAGAATTTCCCTGCGTCTTATGGAACCTTAACTTTTATTGCTGTTTTCACAAAAGTCCACTACTGGTTCTTACCCTGAGCCATATGAATCCAGTATGCACCCTCATATATCCAATTTAATATTCAATTTTAATATTATCCTACCGTCCTTGAATAGGCCTCTGAACCGAACTCTTCCCCTAGATTTTCGAGCTAAACTGTACATATAACAATAAATTAAAAGACTCATAAGAACGTGTCACTAACCTGAATATGTTTGCCAGGTTCGAGGCTCCACATGGAGTCGGCTTTGTTGGTTTGCCAGCAGAGTTCGCCGTCGACTAGGGTCTTCCACTCCTGAGGCTCGTCTCCTCTGATAGCCACACTCAAGTATGTGGCTGTTATGTTCACATGCACATCGCGAGCCTTGGTTATGTAAGCAGGCACTGGAATCTGGCAAATGTACGACGTCAAGAATAGGGAACCATGAAAATTATACAGAGCACTGCCGTCAATAACTCCGTTTCCACGGCAAAGTCAGCCGTCAGGTGACACTTGCCAAAGTGTCAAAATGTGGACGTTTCTACGGATCCTTATTCTTGATATGAACACAGTCAAACCCCAATAAAGCGACACGCTTTGTCGACTACAAATACTGACTGGTGGTACACATATTTTCTTTACGTTTGGGAATAATTTAATTTATTAGTGTACCGAAGTGCAAAATCAATTCATTGCAACTCCCACGCATAAAACTTGCTTATGTTAAGTTTCATTTTATTATTATCTTTTTATATCTTCTCTATTTCAATAAAGTTTTCTAAACAAAATTGTGTATGCATTTATTGTTTCCTGACGCATGGAAGAAAGACGCCCCTGAGAGAATCACTCAGACAAATTTGGGCAAAAACAAATAATAAATAAAGATACTGGAAAATATTTCAATTCTGAAGTAGCCATTAATAAAAGTGCGAAACTGATTTATACCTGGACGTCCAAATCAAGAATACTTTGTGTCCACCTGTAGTTGTCTCGAATTGCCCCATTGTAGCTCTCCCCTGCGCTCTGAGGGTTTTGTTCTTCAGGAACGCTGCTGGAAATAATGCACAAGCCATGAGAGTACGACCATGAAACTTAAAATAAATTACGTTGATATATCTTGACTTAATCGTAAATGAAGTCACTGAAACTTCTCTTTCTCCTATAAAAAAACACAAAACAGATGAACAGAACTGTTCATATCTTATGCCACAATACATCGACATTCGCTTTATGGATGTGTGTGACAAATATAAACAAAAGGAAATCCTTATTCATCACAATTACATACTTCTTGGTAACTTCATCCTCTGCTGCATCTGCGTTTTCTTGTGATGCATCTTTCTTTTCCAGCACCAGAGTTGATTCGGGTTCTGTATCATTCCCTTCAGCGGGTGCTTTGTCCCCATCACTCGACAATCTGAGCACACAGCGTGGATTGTAAATTAAGTAAACATAACTTTAAAACTTTAAAAAGGGACAAGCGCCATGCCAGGAATGCTGAAAGCATGGGGACATTGACAGACCTTTGCTAAAAGGTGAATTGTCTTCATTCTCCATATCTGGAGCAGACAGCATTGGTTAAGAGACTATTTTGCATTTCAGCATCAACTGTTGAGAATATGACACTATATCTTTCTTTTCCAGCACCAGAGTTGATTCGGGTTCTGTATCATTCCCTTCAGCGGGTGCTTTGTCCCCATCACTCGACAATCTGAGCACACAGCGTGGATTGTAAATTAAGTAAACATAACTTTAAAACTTTAAAAAGGGACAAGCGCCATGCCAGGAATGCTGAAAGCATGGGGACATTGACAGACCTTTGCTAAAAGGTGAATTGTCTTCATTCTCCATATCTGGAGCAGACAGCATTGGTTAAGAGACTATTTTGCATTTCAGCATCAACTGTTGAGAATATGACACTATGTGTAACTAACTAGATGGCTTACCGAACCCGAAGGTTCATCACCGAATTAACCAAAGCCCTGTCCTGGGCCAACAAAATCCAGTCTCCTTCAACTCCTATCTCCCATCGATCCCGCCTGACAAATTTACAGTCCTCCAACTATGCACGTCACTCACATATCAAATTTGGTGCAGAATTCATGTTCTCTTTATGCTTGGTAAATCAAATACATAGAGTAACAAGTAACTAACTCCATGAAGCTGAGTCTGTCTTCAGACACTAATAAGAGATCAGCCAGTGAAGAAACTTCTTGTCTTTTAAAAAACCTGAAAGTGGTCTCATCCTTTCAGGTTTTTTGTCCAATTTTTATATGCTTTTTTAATTTTTTTAAACTAAACTAAACTAATTTAAAGTAAAGTAATGTAATGTACATTGAAGTTGTGAAGTAAAGTAAAATAAATTAAATGTCCAAATATGAGCTAATGGACTTGTCTTAACATCATCAGAGTAGTGTCTGTGACTGTGTCAATGCATCTTGTGAGCAAAAGGGGACATAGAAATCAGTCAACAATATATACTGATTTTTACCTTTTGTTAGAGTAATTTTCATGATCTTGTCTTGCCTGCTTTTCCCATTTCTTATACATTTTCTGCATACAATTTTGAGCCACTCCTGGTGGAAAGCCCATTTTATCTGCTTCATCATCCTGAATTTGATAAAAATCTGTACTGTAAGAGAAATTTTCCATGTTTTATTAAACATGCTTCATGATGTTGAATCACATTTACAAATCTCCCTCTTATTGCAGATAAGCCATGACAATACAAAATACTGTGAGGTAAATCACAGTAACCCAGCTTTCTCTGTGCCTGAGCCTTTTATTCCTAAATAAAGACATTTGCCTGCTAAGCATGCATATGTTCCTAACCTACAGCAGTTCCTGATACATTTTGTTAACCCAGTAGAAACATAAAACCTGCAACATTATAATATTATCACCCTGTCTCCAAAGTCTATTATTTGCCTGCCTAATATACCAGTATTATGGAATATTGAGTTTCAAATAAAATTCTAATTTTGGTCTCATCTCAAACTTGCAACACCTCTTCATTAAATTCCTTATCAACACCAATTCATTACACTGAGATCAAATGAAAATCAGCACTGTATATACATTTACAATCTTTACTTTCACTTAAAACAAAATAAATAAAACTAAAGATAACTGGACTTCTCTAAAATGAATGGAGGAAATGCAGTGTGCAAAGTTCAATTTTCATCCTTTAATAAAACAGTTAAATGGACAGCTTTCACCAATCAACCTACAAAACAGGAATTTCAACAAAATTACCCTTTCTTACACTCAACTTGGTACCTGACAAAACACATAAGCGTAATTTTTCATTTCAAAATCCCTTCACGAAAATTCCACAACTACCAATGACAGAGCATACAGGTTAGGAAAGGAACAACACAGTTACGGAACGATGTCAGATAATGATACTGCATATACATATTACCATCTGTATAAGAAACCAAATACGGAGTCTAAAAACGGCAGTATATGCCCCTTTTCTCTAAGAATACCTAAAAAAATTTCATCGTATTTTGACAACCCCATGATACATTGATTGTAAACAACGAGACCTTCCGCACCAGCATTACCACACAAACAGATCAACATCAGTGAAACCTACATTTTAATTTACAAATTTCTTCACCTTAATCGGTTATATATGGAGTGTTGCTTAGAATAATATAATGGGTCAAAAAGATTAATTGTTCATAATTATCTCCAATTATATCAATCATGCTTAATAGAGAATATATGCCAAGAACTGAGTTGGTGACACTTGTTACTCAAGTTGTTCAACCTGAGTACCAACTGTTGTGACTTAAAAATTACTGTGGTCATTTCAGAGATTATCATTGAATTAACAAAAGTTGGTCATGAAGATAGTCACTTGCGTCCGAAACAGCAGCAAAGTTTATGTATTTCTTTGACAAAATAAATTATTTATGTGACGATTTCAAATTCCTTCCAAAATAAAATGGGCCACAATCAAAAGATGAAGTGTCCCAAGGACCCAAATTTACATAGACTTTTTTTGTTCTTTTGTGCAGGAAGCACCCCATAAATAAATAGCGATGTGTGTGACAAATATAAACAAAAGGAAATCCTTATTCATCACAATTACATACTTCTTGGTAACTACATCCTCTGCTGCATCTGCGTTTTCTTGTGATGCATCTTTCTTTTCCAGCACCAGAGTTGATTCGGGTTCTGTATCAACTTCTAAAGGAACTTCAATTTCCTGAACAGCGGGTGCTTTGTCCCGATCACTCGACAATCTGAGCACACAGCATGGATTGTAAATTAAGTAAACATAACTTTAAAACATTGCTTAAGGTTAGTGTCGTAATTTTGTCCTTAATTTCTGTAAATGCAATGATACCAACACTGAACAAAAGACACCAGCTAGGCGTTTCGTATCTCTGGTGTATGCGATTTGCTGTGGATCGATTTCACACCTATCGACAATTAGGTTTCCCAGAATGCTTTTCATACACATCTAATTAACTTCCGAACAAGAATAACTAAAAGACATGGACCAGGTAATAACAATCATGCCCCTTCAATCCTGAGGAACCAATTTAGAAGAATTCTTACCTGTACTTTCAAAACGATTTTAACCAGCAATTCTAGTCCCACAAACAAAAGTTACAGTGGAACCACGGTTCCGGAGAATTTGACGTAAATACGTCTCTGTATTTAAATTATATTTACGTCTCTGTAATGTAATGTAATGTAAAGTAAAGTAAAGTAATGTAATGTTATCTTCAATGTCATCCATCTTGTTACGAAAGCGGATTGTTGACGGCAGTAATGTAACACAACAATGCCGAGTAAACAGATGACGTTTCCTAAGTAACATAACAATGCACGCAAGCTGACCATTGTTGTCGGTCCATATTTACACATTGTTGATATGGATCTTACACATTTTTCTGTAAATTTTTCGTAACACTTTTTTGAGGAATGACCCTTCCATATAGACGTATTTACGTCAAAAAAGTTCCGCGAAATAGCCATGTATCTGTTTGACCACAATAAAATTTTAGATCTTCGACTAATTTTCATGAAATTGAATGTGATGATCATACCTCTTTGAATCCATCGTTTGTATTTCCTTCAAGGACTGCGATAGACAGGCACTTGTGAATATTCAGTAGTGGGAGAAATATTAATCACAGTTAAACAAACTGCCCTGAAATAATAAACAGTTAAAATTAAAAAAAGAAAATTGTCATGGTACCTCTGTTCGCTTCCTACATCGAAAAGACAATTCTTATCCATTACGAAGAGAACTTGGTTTGTAGTATTTAGGGAAACAGTAGTTTTTTTTTCTAACAAGGGAATGTCGAAACCTAACCTGAAATTTTCCTCGTCTACAGAGCCCATCTAGTAATAATTGTTCACAAAATTTCAGCTGCTAATACTCTGTACAAGGGTGCGAAAAAATTGCTCAAAATTCGAATGTACATTTAAGTCCTTAAGCACTGAGCTTTTTCAGTAGCATAGTATGAGGGACACCAGCTTAACCATGGGAGCCAACTATTGGGGTAATAAAGTCTAGAGAAGTTAATAAAAAGGAACCTCACCCTCTTCTCAAAAGTAAGAGACCTAAATGTCCACTGGCAACAAACAATTTAATCAAAGTGGAGGACTGGAGGGCAGTATCAAAAATTTCTTAATAATTCTTATATAAGATAAGTACTTGGGTTATTCTGAAAGGTTTTTAACAGAACAAAACTATCTCGTCTACAACGCAATACTTTTACAAGCTATTCATAGCTGTTCTTTCCTATTGTTGACGTCAATACAACAATTCCGACGAAAACTATGACGTAACAATGTTTCTTCCATAAAGGAATTGTAACTTTGGTTTAGTTTTCTTAATTAATTTTGTAAATTTAATCTTTATTAACATTTTTGACGTATTTACTTCAAAAATTGAATTTGTTTTAGAAAGAAGACAAGCCTAATTCTCTTCCAAGAGTTCGCAAATGTAAATGAAAACCTGTAAATGTTATAAGCAATTATAATAAATAGGATGCACTAACCTCACTCTTTCTTCAATAGGAATTTCTAAGTAATTCACAGAAGATAAGTAAGTACTTTGGTTATTGTGAAAGACTTTTAAAAGCACAAAAATATCTCGTCTGCAACACACTTCTACCACAAGCGATTCACAGCTCAACTCTTTCCACAATGACGAAAGTGGATTGTTCACTCCAATATATACTAATGCGACAATGCCTAAGGAAACTATGACGTAACAATTGGTAAAGTAATGGAGTGCAATACGGTCTATACCGTCTATTATACTGCATGCATAAGCAATGAGAAATGACCCTTACGTCATGCTCAGTCAATATTGTTGCAGGTGTGGTTTATAAATTACAATACTTGTTATTACATTGTTGTTAATATAAAAGCTGAGTGTACAACAATGTAAACTGTCCATTGTCGTTCTATACACATTCTTTTCAGATAAAAATAAATATACAGGATGAGCCAAAAATACCCGGAATAGTTAAGAGATAACTCCACGAATAATCAAAGAATTCAAACCAAAACTTGTTTTATTTAACTAAAACAAGTGTTTATAAAACACGTTCAATATTTTTTTATTTAGTGTTCTGTCTGACGACAGGTCCATATGAACAGGATCCTTCCATCCTTTTCTCGGACTGGGACCTGTTCATATACGTTCTTGGCAGATGATCCAGAAGTGGTTTGCCATTGCCTTCTGTGTGTGAATGGAGTAATTGTTGGGATGCCACGAAGGAAAACTCCGTGTTGCCTAGACCACGGCCTTGCCCAACACAAGTTAAAAATTCGGGCCCCGCAGATGATCCAGCAGTGGTTTGCCATTGCCTTCTTCTGTGTGTGAATGGAGTAATTGTTGGGATGCCACGGAGGAAAACTCCGTGTTGCCTAGACCACGGCCTTGCCCAACAGAAGTTATAAATTTGAGCACCACCGGGAATTGAACCCGGGACCCCAGGCTTACAAGGCCACCTTTAAATTTAATATAAGCATCACGACGTTTCGTGAAATTAATGACAATGCTCGATCTTCGACGTTTATTTCATCCCAGGATTTGTACAGCTGATCCACTGTAGAGTATCTTGAAGAGGAGATTTTGCTCCAGAATTGACCAAACTGCGAAGTCCATAGCGATCAGATCAGATGAGTGACGTCTTGGCCATCTTCGATATTGTTTTTGCCTTAAAACCTTTTTTAAACAAATTTACAGCCATTGTGTGGCCTTCTCTTTCCATATTAAAAGTCTAAATCAAATTAAAACATTTGTTTTCCGCAGAAAACATAAAAAACGGTTCTAATTTGAACTTACGGGTATTTTTGGCGCACCTGTATACTAATACAACAATGCCGACGAAAATTATGACGTAACAATGTTAATTTTTATGCCAGTATTGTTACAATAAACAACATTGTTACAGGCGTCGTTTATAAATTCCAATAATTTTCTTAGATTGTTGTACACTGACTATTGTTGTTCGATATTTATACATTGTTGGTAGTTGAAGAAAATACAAAGCGAATTACTTTATGTTATAATTTGCTTATTTCATACTAACTATAAAAAGTCAATAATTAATATTATATTTTCTCTATTAGATGGAAATAAATTTGGAAATAATGAGAAGATGCATGAAGAAATAATTGAAATTTTATTTTCCCTTATTTAAAAATAACGTACACTTGCCCGGGCGCTGTTAAGCAAAATTTCAGGTGAGGTTTCACCATTTCCTTTTAAAAATGATAAAAAAAACCATAAATATAACGTGGGCGAAATTCAGAGTTACTGAATGGTAGCGAATATACGTAAATTTTTGAAAACTGGTGCAGGTTTTGTCGACCCCGCGCCCTTCAAGCCTTCTGGAGCCCTCGGAATCGCCCACACGTTTTGCCCGACAGACCGTTGCCATGGAAGCACGGAGTTACCAGTGTCATCCAGCAGAGGAGCCATCATTCCATCTGCACGTCCCCTGTAATTCTCAGAAATTAATCTGAAAGAAAATAAATTCAATAAAAATGTCTACTTCAGGTAACTAAGTGGTCCTACGCCCAACGTACGATCCAGTGCGTACAAAAATTCCACATTTCCGACAAATTTTTTTTGGAAAAGTTTCAATGAAGGTGTTTCTATTTGAATCAGACAATTTAATGGGTCACAAGCAAAACGACATAAGTCCACTTTGAGATATAATTGAGCTACTGACATGGTAATCATCAGGGAAAAAACGTGCTCCCTTCCACAATAATAACTCGATAAAAAATTTCAAATGTATTTCAGAATATTTGTTTAAATCTTGTCAGTCTAATCACAATAAAATTTCTATTAAATATTAAAATATTACTATAATTAACATTTAAATATTTAAACATCTGACTAAAAGTTGCATTTAAGAAATTATATTTAATTCTATATAATTTTATACACCTTAAGATGGTTCTTTTAGAACCGAAACATGTCGTGTAAAAAAGTGATGATCTAATGTAAATCGAACATTTCGATAGAGAACATCATTTAATATATTTTAAATATTTAAATGTTAATTATAGTAATATTTTAATATTTAATAGGAATTTTATTGTGATTA